ATTAGGTCATTTTGACCAAATTTGATTTAATCCTCATTTCAATTTGATGGGTCACAAATATTACAAAATAAACRTGATCCACAAGAATCTACATGAGTTTTCTGAGACAGATTGCTGCTGGTTTAGGTCCAACCACCAGGGGCTCCCCTTAACCTCCATACTCAACCCAGGGTTGAACTCGTTGGCCTTAAGCTCGCTGATGCGTTTCCCCAAACATAAATTCATGGAAATGATTATTCCAAATGGCTGATTGTTATCTTGGCCTCTGCACTCCTGTTTGTTATAGGGCCCGCGTCTGACTCTTCCAATGACAGCCAAATTGTGCCGCCGCATGACAGCTGGGTAAATTGTGGGTCTAACCTCGGACCCGTGGAAGAATATGAGCTGCTGCTCCATTTCCCGCAGCGTGATGCTTAAGGCCTGCAGGCAGTCAAACGATGCTCCCGCGTTGCATGTAAGTGGATCCAAAAGACATTATARGTCCTCTATTCTATCACACAGCTCATCTGAGCCTCATTGCTGACGGCCGGGAACATAAAGCAGGGCAGACAAAAATACTATACACGTGTTMGGGTGAGAAATAGTGTTTCCATGGAAACTGACCAAGGGGGACACAGGAGATGCACGTTTGCTCCACGCAGCCCCCCCGTCAACGCTGACAGGTCGCAACACGAAGACGCGGCCAGTTGCTCTTCCCACTTCGCTTTCAATTTCACTCTTCCTGTTTGCATATGTTTGGTCCCACTCCTCTCCCTCTTCTTCTCCTTTTATCTCTCCATCTAACACACTCTGAACCTGTCTTTCAAACTCTAAATGTAGTTTTTTCTTTGTTCACTCCTGATTGTCAGTGATGAAATGGGGAAAACAAAATGTAGAGAAAAGTGTCTAGAAAAAAAAAACTCTCCAATTTACCAAAAAAAAAAAAAAGGCAGTTTTTTCCTAGTATATGGACCTTGCATGACTCTGGTCATCTTGGTTTTTTCCCCCCCCACACAGTTCACACCCGTCTGTGAGCTGGTTCCTGGAGCAAACTGAGGGCTGCACAGATTGAACACTTAACATCCATATTCTGAACTATGGCTATACTGGTTTTGAGGACTCGATTCTTCAGGCTCATTTTTCAGATATTCACACAAGTGCATACAACACTCATGGCTTCAGATACACGCACCCCTAAACTCACTTACTCCTCTGGCTAATAGATCTGCTCTATGCAGAGGTTGTTTTTTTTATTTTATAAACACCATAGTGTGTCACATTGTTGATATAATATGATGTTTTTTGTTTTGTTTTCCCCTCATCTTCCCTTGTGTGTTTTTTAGTTTTTCTTTTATGGGTTGCGCCTCCTCATGATGTCTTCATGAGGATGATCCTTGCTCTGTGCAGGGTCAGTGGCAGCATGACCCAGAGCACCTGTCCTCCCATGCTTGTTATGTTCTGTCTTCTTCTGAATGGGTGTTCTGAACTGTAATTTTTTATTGTGCTCTGTACAATGACAATTCGCTCTCAGACTGCAGGTTTACTTGTGGTTCCTCGAGTTTCTAAAAGTAGAATGGGAGGCAGAGCTTTCAGTTATCAAGCTCCTCTCTTGTGGAATCAACTTCCAGTTTCTGTCCATGAGGCTGACACTCTGTCTACTTTTAAGATTAGACTGAAGACTTTCCTTTTTGATAAATCATATAGTTAGACTTAGGTTTCCTGAATTAATCTTCATTTCTGCTGCTATAGACTTAGACTGCTGGAGCACAAACTGAGCACATTTCTCTACGTTTATTGTTATTATTTCTATCATGTTTTTTCTTTGTCTTCCAGAAGAAGGTGCACCTGAACCAGTCCTGGACCAGTTCTTCTGTGTTTGTCTGTGTCACTTTCTTGTCCATCAACCAGCCGGTCGAGGCAGATGGCCACCTGTCCTGAGCCTGGTTCTGCTGGAGCTTTCTTCCTGATTAGCAGGGAGTTTTTCCTCTCCACCGTTTGCTCAGGATGGGAGACTGTGATGAAGAGATTCAACACAATCTGCTGGTTTCTTTTTTAGTTTGTTCTTTTTATGTAAAGTGCCCTGAGACAACGTATGTTGTGACTTGGTGCTATATAAATAAATAAACTTGAAATAAAATAAACTTGAAACTTGAATAAAAGTCTTTCTAATCTAATCTAATTTAATCATCACCTGAACTCAACTCTTAATCTGTTCTTCATTCTTCTAAAACCACTTCTTTCTCTTGTCAAAATGTATCATTCAGGATCTGTTTTAGCTTGGGTAAACTTTTTTTTTTGGCTACACCGACTAAGTAATGGTTTAGTGGCTTGTCTTTGGGGAGCTCATTCAATCAACCTTACCTTTCAGAGCTGCATCTTTCCCGCAGGGAGTGAGCAGGGTTCCACAAGAAAAAGCATTACTCCGAAGAAAAGCAAACTAAAGCCATCATTATATTTGTTCAAGTGTGAATGGACTCATGTCTGCTCTGTTTGCCAGCCTCACCTTCAAAAATAGCTTCGAACTGTTGCAGAGTTATGGTTTAAGGCTGCATACAAGTGGGAACGAGGCAAAGCAATTCCCTTCTTCTCCGCTCTCCGGAGCGCACGGTCCGAGACATGGCCGACAGGAGACTGACAGGAGGTTTGGCTCACAGGAGAACAAAAGGCCTGAGAGGCAGCTTAAGAACGATGGGGGTGTGAAAACATGCACACGCACTAGCTTTCCTCCAAAACACACTAATACACACTGAAATGTGCAGAGCTATCTGGGTTTGTTATCAGCACTGCGGCTTGTAAAGTGCAGCAAATGGGATCTGTGCATCAGATTGAACTGTCAGGGAGATGGTGACTGATGGCTGAGAGACCTGTCCCCTTCCTGCAYGTAGCTTCCTTCACAAAAGGCTACGAAGAAAAAGAAAGAGGAAAACAGAAAGCGAGATGTGTTTGAGAGCAAGCCAAATTGTTTGGAACCAGATGAGCACAAATGTCAAAAGGACATTTCTATGATTAAAGCAAAACCTATCAAAGAGATAAACTGCAACACAGAGCTGAGCCAATTACAAAAACAAAGCAACAAGGACAACCATAGGCTGTCTTTACAATTACCATTCAACAGCACAAAAAAATAAAAATCTAAAATATGAGGGGAATATAAAAAGGGAATGGCAATGTTTTAAAGGCCAAACCAAAGATAAAGCAACATTTATTGCCAAAGACTCTGAACAACTCAACTACAGCTCCCTCATCCCCATCTGCACGCACTACCGTGCAAATTTCTCTAATTAAGTTGCCTAATTAATTCTCATTTGCTAATGACACTCCTATCAAAAAGGAAGACTACTCGGAGGGGCGACGTGTGTCAGTGACTGCTGCATTGTGAGGTGAAAATTAAGTTTTCTAGTCGGGATGTGTGGGATGATTAACACGCCTGCTTTTTATTAGAATTCACTGCACACATAATAATGTTCAGAAGTGTCTGGCACCTCAGTAATTTGTAGCTTTAAAAAAGGAGGATTTAAAAAATATATATATATATGTATATATAAAATCCACTTTYATGTTGATAATAATTATGCACACCAGGAGCTCAAATACCGATTTGTTAGACGGCYGTGAATAAAAATAGTTTTAAAGCTCTGCTGCTGATGAATCTATAAAGTCAAATCTCCAAAGATGCCCCCATCTAGAAATATGCTCTCGTCTTTTATAAAGGTTTCAAAATGAAACTCTAATTAGGTTTTCCAAGACAAAGGAATGAGCCTCCAAAGCAGCAGTTAGTGAATCTGTTTAAAACTCAATCTGTATATCTTTCAATTACTTTTGTTTCAGCCATCCAACACTTGAAGAAGTAGAGTGAAAGAGAAATGCTTTAAAGAGTGAATAATTAATTCGTACGAAAACAAAAGGCGAAATGGGTTTTATACCCAGGCAAATTGGCCCCCATTTATATGGAGATGTAATATCTTCTCTTCCAATCTGCATTTCAGTTTTGATAATGAGTCTGAATTGACAAGGCTGTCACAATGGATATTGTTCTAATTCTTTCTGCAAGAACAAACCTTTTGGGAAAGATGTTCATACACACAGAGAACCGTAGGTTTGAACCYAGTCTGGCGTAAGTAAATAAGTGTGTTTAATGGATGACTGACGTCTTGGTGTGTAAGTGGGGCTCCACAAGCACTCCGAGGTTAACATAGAGCATTACAGCTGTATTCACTAGTGTCACAAAGGACATGATCCCCCCCTCTACATGTGTCTGCCACATTGACCTTTGACCTAAGAGATGTAGAGTGGGGTCTTACTAGCTTAGACAGAAAGAGGATCACTTTACAGCTGGACGCCTATCTGAAACCCACTCCCATCACACGGGGAACCAGAACCTTTCCCATGGATTTATGGACGTAAATCAGCTCTTTGCCCTGTCCTCGCCTATAGCACACAGTGGTGTCCTCTTACATGGCCCCACTCTAAGCTTTCCCACTGTCTGGGGAAAATCCCATTCCTGGCATTAGTTCTGCAACTTGTCCTTCTTTCCTCTGGATAATTAAAGCAGTCAGAGWGTGACTGTGTGCAAGACTTTAAAAAAATGCAACTAATATCTCTCTGAGTTAAAAAAMCAAACAGGTGGATTCCTCGTCTATTGTGCCCATTATGATCATAATTATGGCAACGCGTCAACAACTCAAATCGTGCCAAACGAGTTCAACTTTTTTTCCCCTTCACTTGTAGAGAACAGCAGGTCAGAGGGACATCTGGGACAGTTATGAGTATGTTGACAAGAGGAAATGGGGGTCACAACAAAAAGGCAATTATGCATGCAGAAGGCAGTTCAGCACAATTAAAACTAATGAGGCTCCAGCCTTAAAACCTGCACAGGAGTTAGTGATTTTCCGCCACATGTAATCCAGATGGAAAAGTGCAATCATTACAGTGCTAATACCTAAAGTCGTATTATTCGGTGCATCTTGGAGACAAGAGCTCTTTCAGCAAGTCGCCACCAAGTGGAAAATTTAAGATAAACTCCCGCAAATTTATGTCCTGCTTTTACTTAACTACATGTGCTTGACGAGATGCTTTGGAATCTCCAAACGTAGTTTGGGAGCAAAATGTAAAAAAAAAATATGTACAATATTTTACTTCTTCGTTTTTTTACAGTTGCTTTTTTGCTTTTGAATGAAATCCTAGCAATTCTGCAGAGCCAAATCAGTGACTCTAAATGTGGACAAAAAACAAGGAAAATTTTACTTAACCTGAACGTAACCTGAACTGCTTAATAAAATGGATGGATGGATGGATGGATGGATGGATGGATGGATGGATGGATGGATGGATGGATAAAGACGCTGGACACCAACACCCACCATGGTGGTGCTGGTCACAGCTCATCTGTCCTGGCGACGCCTGAGCTGTCTGGGAAGGAGACTCTAGCTCCTCCGCCAGTGGAGGGCTGGTGTTGAGTTGGCCGACAGGAGGTGGCCACGGTAGGTCCTTGATCACTTTAATCTCTACTGCAAGTGTCACCAAAGGAGAGATGGAGGAAAAGAGAGGAAAACAACAACAGGCAACAGCAAAGGGAGTGAAGTAAGGGATGCAATGATAGGGAGAGAAAAAAACAGAGGAAAGAGAGAAAAGGTACAGGGGGTAAGCAAGAAATCCTGCAGATATGAGCAAAACATGCCAGCTTTGTGGTAGAAAAACAGGGTTAGAGTGTAATCAAAGAATCAGCAGCACCTGGAAAGTAGAAAAGGAAAGACACTGAAAAGGAAGCGAGGTTAGACTCAAAAGAGAAGTCAAGAGTTATCTGGATCAAATTTCAAATATAATGTAATGAATTTAAAGTTACACAAATGATGAAGATGAAGGTTTTCCTATTAAGCTTTATGTTGAATTACAGCAATAGTTTAGATCTTTTGAAGTGGTTTCTGCGGAAAGAGTATGGTGACATATTATTTCACCTGTTGTAGGCGGCATTTTGAGTGATGTCAGGTTTTATTTCTGACTGGGCTGACAAGCTAAGTGGGTCGAGATCAAAGTCAATTGTTTCCATCTTTACACAATTCCAGTCTCAAGAATCAAACACGATTCATGCAAATGCTATGCCATAAACCTTTACACCACCGGTAGTTTTGCATAGYGCCTCTGGAATAAATATTTAAGATAAGATATAAATTGTTCATGACCTTTCCATGGAAACCTCGATTCACAAAACTTGAATTATCACTTCAATGCGGAACTCCAGCTTCCACTGAAAGGCTGAGCATTTTACATGTTCTCTTCTCTATTCTGCTTCTCAATTAGCTTTATAATATTAATCCGAGACCCAGTTTGAATGACCTTTAGTATATCCAGAGATAAAATAACACGGGAAACAATCTCATATTTTTTATTATCTAATTCATAATGAGGTGTAATGCACACCCCTCAATCGCCTCTAAAGTCAATATAATAATATGTTGTCAAAGTGCAAGCTATCTGGTGGAGTGCAGCAGCATACACTCTGCTGTTATTCTGACCTTAGGCCTCTATATTAAGATAAAGAGCAGCATAGATGATATCTATCACTGAGATGTACTTTACAGTAATCCATTCAGGTCATGGACACTACACGGGCTTTACCCCAGAGATAATGTATGCCTCGTGTCCAGACGAAACATTAGCAAGATAAATCGAGCACTCCCACAGTAGCACATCTGTTTCTAACATCGGGCCACTTGTTAAATACCCGAGAATGCTGAATAAATGAGATGGGGAGCCCAGGTTGTTATTTTTGTTCCAAGAGGACCTGCATCAGAGGCCAAGACTAATAAATAAATATGATCCCAGCAGTAATGGTTTTGGAAAGCTACTGTACACTCCTGCAGATGTAGGGTTGTCACCATGTTACAATGGCTTTCCAGATCACAACTTCAACCAATGCTGGTTTAGGATGAGCATAATGCCACTGTCCGTGGTGCTAGCAACCTTACACCAGCCCCGAATATTTCATCATCGAAGCCGTGACACAAAGCCATGATCCATCAACGTTTGTATTTATTTTTGGAGGGGGAGGTCATAAACTGCTGTAAACCACTGATTGTCAGAGAGTTTATTTTGAGAGGATGACATTATTTGACCAAGTTTGGGGGGAAAACAGGAATGGAGATGATTGCTTGATGTAAAGCTTATTCATATCTATAACTATAAAAGTGTAGAACTCTGTCTAAACAATGATTTTTGGTACGATCATTGTTGCTTAGGTTAGACAACCATTTTTTCATCCAATAAAAGCTGTAACGAGAACTCTTTAACTTAAAATTCTCAGAAAGTCAAATAAATCTTGATATACAGCAACGACCCGGGTATTAATCAACTCAGCACCCAAATAATAACCACGTGATCCCATATTGTTTGTATACAGGCTCATTTTCAAGCAGAACACAAACATGTTAGATTTGTGTATTTTGCACTCTGTTTAAAAAATGGAGCACAGTGATTTATCCAGGACGTTTTAATGAGAAGCAATATCTGCAAGCTAGATGAAGGGGGGGAATCGGAGAATATTCAATCCGACAAGCAATTAAAAAGCTGGGCTGGGGGTTGTCAGGGGGCTTATCTAGGGGAAAAAAGTGGCTGCAGGGAGGAGCTGTCTGCTGCCTATCATGATGGGAAAGGTGGTGCATTGGAGGAAGGTCAAAAACTCTGAATGATAATATAACTTCCTCTGCTTTGTGGTGAAGTACGGGGACTCCCTTGCAATGCGATTAAAAACCGCAATACTCATTTCACATTCCAGATTAGCGTGTAATTGTTTGGGGAGCAGAAGGCTGCCTGAACTCTGCAGCCTCACTGTGGGGACAAGGAGATGATGTTGGGTAAAAGTGGCTCAGGCTCGCTTGTTTGCACAGCTTTCTAGCAGTGTAAAATGGTTTTGATTCAATTCATGATCATTGTTTTTTCTTTTAAATTACGTCATAAAATTATTGCAGAGCCAAATAAGTATTTCTGAAACAGGATGTAAAAAAAACATCAAGCATTGCTTTCAATAAAATGACATTGCAATCGATGAGCCACATCTCATCTGCATAATCCTCAATCCATATAAGTAAACAACTCCCTGTGTTGACATAGGAAAGGAGCTTAATAATGATTATGAATCGACAAATCACCTGTCGCTCAAGCTGACAGCACAAAATTATAAACTGTTCAGAATTTAAATAGGAAAAAATATGTAAACAGCTTTATGTTTACTACTTGCTTTGGATAAATAGTTTATTTACTTCACAGCTACATTAACAATGCAGTTTAGCCTGCAAAAGTGCACAATATCACAACAATAAACAAAAGGGCATCTTCTTAATCGCACCACCTCGTCTTAGTTTTTCCTGGTTCTACATTTAAATCCAGGTATTTGTTTACCGGCCCCCTTTTATTTGCTCATTCATCGGTGGGAATAGTGCAGCGCCATAAATCATCAGCTGTGCTTGTTTTCACCAATGGCATTTAATTTAGTTCTGCTTAATTTGGTTGGCTAATTGCATGCATATTCACAACAAGCTGGAAGACTGTAATGTTTATGCTGCATATTACGAGCAGAGGAGCTCGGCAAACGAACAAAAAAAAATAGACCCTCCTGAAAACACGTTCGTTCCATCTGCACTCAAATTATTACAGATAACAACAGCATAATGCTCCGGGGGAACCGAAATGCCACCTCATAATTCTCTGCACACCGTTGCCGCCGCATTATACGGTCCGACTCCTTCTCACAGCGCAGATCTGTTTTGAAAGAYGACRTGTTTGTATTTGAAAGAAAGTGGTGCTGAAAATGGGTGATGGAGGTGAAATGACAGCAAAGTCTTTTTTATTTATATATATATTTTTTGTTTGTTTCCCTGTTCCTCCATATTGAGGGAAGATGGGTTGCTGACAGCCGGGCAGCAGGAGCTTCCATATGGGGGGCTCAAACTGGTGAAGCGCTGCTTCTGAGCTCTGTGAGGGAGAGTTACAGCACTGTTGTGTGTGGCCAATGTGTGCAAGTGAAGATAAGACCAGCGGCAGCGCTCTGTGGAAGACGGCAGGACACATTTGAGGCCCATGAAAGAGGGCTGTCAGCGAGGTTATCAGCAGGGTGTTACAGCTCAGGCCAGGGGGACGAGCCAGAGCCGCACTTTGATGGACAACGTTGAGGAACCGGACCAGGCAGGGGGAAACAAAAACCACGGCACCCTCCAAACTACTGGCTTTAACCCCGGAGGAAGCCACCAGCAAAGGACTGTGAGCGAATCAATTATTTATTTTAGGATATTAAACATGAATCTCATATTTCTGGATCRTTTCGCCCATGAAGACTCATTAAAAACCCATGAAGCTCCCCGAGACCTGGAGAAGAAAGTGACAACGCAGCCTCTGATCGCCTGGTGTTAACAGTTTGAGGTCCTGCTGGCCGAGAATGAAGTGAAAAGGGGATTCTAACAGAGGGMAGGAAGAATAGGTAGCAGTGGTTTGCCATCTCGTCCCTGTTGTGACAAAGCTCAGCCTCCCAATGATGGGTTGTCCACACTGCAKGGGGGTGATGGTGTGTGACTTTGAATGCATAAGCACAAACAAAACATACATGCTGACAGACACGAGCACACCTTCTTTTGACCTCACCTGCAGGCACTTTATATATAGCCAAATCGTAATRTGTCTTCTACACTCTTCACCTCCAGACTCATCCATCACCTTCTGAGCTGCCAGGGAGGAGGCAGGGGGAAAAAAAGGTTGTGGCAAGTGCAAATTTTCAGCGCGGGATGGAGGGGAGCAAGGATGAGTGATTAACCGCACCGCAAGTACACAGCCTCCAAACAGCCCTAACAAGGCAGGGAATTTACATTCCATTGCATACCTGTCAGGAGACAGTCCAACTGTGAATAATAACAGCGGACCAAGTGTTGTGAAGAGGCGAGCATGCAGGGAGTGATGGGTACAGCGGTGAAAAAGAGGGCTGCAGCATAAAACATTACTCTGCTCCCCTTCCTCTATCATTAATGAAGACAAATAGTTTTTTATACCGACTGTGTTATTGTGTTAAACCACAGTGGGATGGGTGTAGGTCGGACTCTGCATCTTTTTTCATTAACTGCCAACAATTTGTGTGGGGACACTTTTGTTTCCCTGGAAATTRTTGGAATATAAACAGTGAAAAGGAAAGAAAGGGTGAACGGCACCATTATTCACTGATATTACAGAGCCGTAAGAGGCTGAAGAAACTCGAGCTGGAGAAACATTTCCCATCTAGAAATGTAAAAGCGCATAAAGCTACACTTAAGTCGGGCTTTAAAACAGATCAGCTGCCAAAAAAAGAAATGCTCGAGCCGGGCATTATACTGCCACCTGACAAGGTCTAACTGCTGCAGCATCACTACAGCGGAGCTGATGATCAGAGTGGATGTAAACAAATCTCCCATTCAAACATGTTAACCTCAACGGCTGAAGCTACATCCCCTGCTGTTGACTGGAACAAAAATAACTAATGAAGTCATGGAGT